GATATTTATTAGTCACAAATATTATCCTCCGCCACTTTGCTTAGCACTGCAGCCAAAGCGTTCAGTGAAGCTGCTGCAGTGATCTGAAGTGCTGCAGAACTGCTACTCAGCACTTGGCTAAGAAACTGAACATGCCTCTGGAGTAGGGTTAAGAAATCACCACCCTGGGCCAGACCAAACAAAAGATGGGCGCTGCGGACTGCATCGCGCTACCAGATATTGAGGAGCTGCACTGGTGCCCTGAACCCTGAAAACGAGAGGCAGAGACAAAAGAGCCTGTGTAAGACAAGTCGTCAGAGCAGCACCTTCACAACATAAGCTCAGGCAGAACTGTCCCCACTCTCCCCAGAGAGAACACACATAGCCGCCAGAGAGGCCACACGAAGCATTGGAGCTCCCAGGCTGGTCGCCAGAGACTGCAGAACGGCCATCCAATGTGGCTGCACCAGGAAACAGTGGACGGCCGTGGCCGCCTGAAGCTGCATGAGGCATCGGGGGTCTCAGAAAGGCCAGGGCCTGCCATCCCAACAGTCAGTGCCCGCAGAAAGGCTGCGGAGACCGAGACCTGGTTCTCCGGCAGCCACAGTACTGTGCACACGGCAGCTGCAGCACATGAAACTGCAGCTGCCAGGGCATTGCAGCAAAACATACCCTGCACCAGGCCAAATTAGCAGAAGCTGTGCTAACACCAGGGCAAACCCCAAATAGGGAACACCCACCATGAGAGATGTGCAATATCCTTAGCTAGTGACCCCTATAAGCCAATAAAGTGATAGGGAAGACCAGCAGACCACACATTGCATACAAAGCACAGGAGAACAGGGAGAAGAAGGGTACCCTTCGACCACTTCAGCCACTGACCATAACAAGGGAGGAAAGGAAGGTCCATGTACTTACCATCACATGAATCATGGAGAATGCTAACTCCCACGACAGGACCCCCTGTGAGGAACACTCACAGGCTGCTCCCAAATCCAGGATAGGGCTGCCGCGGCCAACCTCGCACGTATCTAAGGATCTGCCTGCACTCGATGGCTGAGTTGGGGAGACTACAAGGATCTATATTACCAAGCTTGTCACTAAGCGTAGCTGTTGATTAAAAGGTCAGGAAGACAGAAGAGGAAGGAAAAACAACATTTCCCTGCACAAAAAAAAAAGAGAACCAAGATTCCCAGCAAGGAGCTTAGGTCCTAACTATTTGACACTAGGCAAAAAACTGAGCTGCCTCTAGCTGTGAGGAGGTTTGGCCACCCTTCAGGAGCAGCCCCTAGACTGTGCTTTTGTTTTGTGACTAGTGTCCTACTCCCGAAGATAGTGCTATAGCCCAATGGTCAAGATCTGAAGATGTCCGCTATATCCTTCAATGAACGAAAAGAGAAAAAACAATACATTTTCACTACATATACACTGAGTGGCCAGATTATTATGACCACCTGACGTTTGTAGGCAAATTAGCTATAATTTTGCGCTGAAGTTGCTAGAGGGCCAGACCATTGTAAATAGGGAAGCAGGTTGTTTACCATGACAGTAGAAGTGATTTTTTCTGAAGATATGTGTAAACAACGCGATTTAACAGCCTTTGAACGTGGGATGATTGTTGGCGCTCAAGCCATGGAGCGAGTATCAGCAAAACAGCAGAATTCGTTAAATGTTCAAGAGCAGCTGTTGTTAAAGTGTTTAAAGACTGGACTGTCAGCCGAAAATCTGGGTCTGAACGTGCGAATTGTGGCCGTCAGCGACTAGTCAATGTTAGGGCTGAACAGAGAGTGGCAAGACTGGTACAAGACAACAGAAGGGCAACAGTGCAGTGTCAGATTCCTCACATCACCTTTCAACATCTCGTGGAGTCACGAGGCGGCCCAACGAAGTCATCTTGTGGAGTCATCTCGTGGCCCAACGAAGTACTAATGGGGTGGTCATAATAATCTGGCCACTCAGTGTATATTCCAATATTTTTTGCTGTTCTTTTCTACACATGAATTAAAAGTGGCCATTTAAAATAGTGATGCCTGCAAAATGAGCACAGAAACAGATATATTGGCCAACATTAACATTTTAATATTAAAGGAGAACTATGGGGTTAAGGCTTTCCCCCATAGTTCTCCTTACGGTAACGGGAGGACACAAACTAGCGTCCTCCCGTCACCCTAGGCTCAGTATACCGCGAGCTGTAGCTCGCGGTATACTGAGACGCCGCAGTATACCGCGAGCATACTGAGACGCCGCAGCTGAAGCGGATCCCGACAATTGTGCCGGGATCCGCCCAGCTGCGTGACTGACAGCTGGTTCTGCCTATCTAGAGGCAGAGCCAGCTGTACCTGCCCCCTCCCCCCGTCCGTTCCGCCAGTCAGCGCTGGCGGATCGGAGCGGGGAGGGGGGAATACAGCCCCTCCCCTGCCACGGCAGAGAGCCGTGACAGGATCGAGAGGTGAGCGAACGCCGGTATGTGTTCGCTCACCTCCCGATCTACTAAGCCGACCTGTGAAAGTCTCATTGTCACAGGTCGGCTAGAACTATGCGGTGAGTGAAAAGCACTCACCTCATAGTTCTCCTTTTAACAAATGCAAGCAGCATTATTATTCCTATCATAAAGAGGTGAAGTTAAAGATTCTGTTAAAATCCACTTTACTATATCCCAGAATTTTTTTAAGTGGTTTTCTAAAAACAGATCCTATGTCCTGGTCTGCATGTTAGTTTCTTACAGGATTAAAAAATATATAGTTAATGCGTTTGAAGAATGTTCAGAGTCTCTACCCTTGGGCCACGCGTTATAAATCTTAAGCCATCAATAGACTGGTAGCTGTCACAAACATACAGATTACAGAAAATCCCTGACCTGCCCCTCAGACTGGCAAGAAAAAAAACAACAGTCTGGATTTTATGTACTGAACTATACTACGGTAATAACGGAAAGTCAATGTTAATGACACAATGTTTTTTAAAATTAATGGCTTATTCATACAAGTCCAAAAAGAGCTGCACTCTGGGATATTCCACTGGAGATAAAATCTTTATTTAAGGAAAAACATACCTCACATTCCTCCCCATGTCTAGTCAGTCGCTAACATGTTTCAACATCACGGCTTACTCAAGAATCAATCCATTTGACATGGCTTATCTTGAGTAGCTTGCAATAGGCATCTTACACCTATAGTGTTTACACCCAATATTTGCCAGATTTGATGTAGGCTTTTATAGCCTGTTGATATTCGGAGGGCCAGTAGGTAACTCTAAGGAGGAATGCTTGCTTACATTAAGAATACAATACAAAACTGCCAGCTTCAATTTTAGCTGGAGTTGTTAAATGGTCCTTAACCGTGTCAATTTTGTTATCCCACAAACTTGTCTAACCATAAAATAATTAATTATCCCAAAATACTCACCAAAAAAAGCCATTGATACAAGACATAACCAGAAATGAGCTTCATTAGGTGCTGCAGCTTTTTACCTGTCATCCCTTATGCAGCATTGGCACCTGTGTTTTATTTTCACAGCAAAGAAAATGGTAAGCTTATTTTATCCTGCATTGCAATTGGGACCATCTGGTGGATTATGGGAGGTTTGGCATACGGATATTTTATGCTTTGGGGTTTATTTGCACAGCTTTTAAAGTTACAAACTACTTTCACAAAACAAAAAAATACCTTGGGATGTGCATATTATTAGCAGAATTGGTAACTTTCTAAAGCTAAATGAATGATGGTCCATGGTATCAGCTGGTACTAACAATCATCATTAGGTCCTTTTATTCAGTACCATGCCACAGTACTGTGTCTTTTGGGAAATTATTTTTTTCTCTCAAGGTGTCGTAGCTTATATACTGGCCACTGAATGTATATAAAAAGCAGCTTACAAAAACATTTACGTTTTCAGTGGTCATGGTCATTCTGAAGGTTTTTCTGTAAAACCAGCTAATATCCATAATAGCCTTTCTGAACTGGAAACTTAGTTTTGCATTTGGCAGGTAAATCTACTGCAGGGGTAGTGATTTAAAATATAAGGAGGTCTGGTGAATAAAAGTTTAATTGAGCCGAGGTCCAAATCATGGTCTGGAGAGAACAATCACTCAGTTACGGTACATACACTTGCATGCCTTAAGTGGCAGGGTTGGTTTTAATCTTAATTTTTTTTTACCCATCACATTTTATTATTTTTTACTTTATCTTTTTTTTTTTCACTTAAGTTTTGCTATCACAAAGGAGCGAACAAGCCACTATGTATTTGGAGGTGACAGGTTCTCTTTATGTAGACATCAAGGGTCTTTTAGACCAATGTGTTTCCTGCCCTCCAATACAGATCATTAAGCAAAGGAACGTGTTTGAAAGTCTGTACTCGCACTCGCCCAAATGTCACTTGGGGAAAGTCTTGGGACAGAAATTTGAGGATTGTGTTTATCTGATAAGCTTCAATGGACAAGCCACCTCTGAATGGACAACATCCCTCATAGCCCCCCCAAAACATTTGAAAGAAATAGAAAATAAATTTTAACCCGTAAATGCAATTTAAACTGCAAGAAGCATTTTTTTTTTTTTTTATTTCTGCTATGTCAATGGGAACATGCAACAGATATAGAATAGGTCTAATCCCAATTTAGCTGCGATAAAGAAAAAACACTTTAAGGCCTCATTCACACACAACTCAAGAGCAATATTGTATATTGCGTATACGCGTATGTACGAGCAATCCCAGAATGCATCATTCGTAATAGAAATTTTAATGAACTGTACGCGTGTACGTGCGTACATGCGCATAAAAAACTACGCCGAAATACGCTGCCCGGGCGCATCTCGGTTCCATTCTATTTTTGCGTATTTTTACACTATGCAAATATACGGCTCCATATGCAGCTATGTGTATGGAGACATTTATTTGCATATGCTGCATATGTTACAATACGCATGTACGCGCATATATGCGTGGCAGTGTGAATGAGGCCTTAGTCATTAGTACAATAAATGGCTGCTATTAGTACAAGAAATGACTGCTATATAGCTACTTACATCCCAAATCGCAGCATTCCAGATACATATGTTTGCCAGTGAGCACAGTAGAACATGAACATGCCTGCAAAGCAGCAGAAGAACATCCAGTCTGGGTGTGTACCAAGCTGTACAGCGATGCAAGTTCCCAAAACCACAAACACTGTAAAGAAAAGAAATGACAGAATGTTCACATTCACCTTTTACCTGAACAAGATTTAAAAAAAACTGATTAGTGTAGGCCTAAGCCAACTTATGGTAAATAACTAATTAGCATTACTGTTCAAAGTAGTGAATTCAAACAAAACAAATCATTCCTCAGAAACAGTAAAACTGATATACACCAAAAATGACATAACAGTAGCAGACTGAAATGTTGCCAAAGCCACTCACAAATGCTGGCCATACACCCGAAGTTTTTCCTCATTTAGCCCTGTGGGCTGACAAACAAATCAAAACCGCTCAACCGCCTATAATAATATCCAGGCTGGAACCGTGGTGCTCAGCATTGGTCTCTGTCAACCCCCTAAAATGCATTATAGAGAGATTGCTATATGGAAAGGATCCATTCGGTGCAGCACCCAAAAAAGCGAATGCTGGACGGGTCTACTATCACGGCCGTGTCAGCGGTGCCCGACTTCTTCCCTCGAGGTAATGCTTAGTTTCATTTTGTCAAGATGTAATTTCCATTGTGATAACAGTATTGATTATCGTTATCATCCATAACTTTAAAGTGGTTTCTGTTGTCTATTTTCAATATCCAGCTGTTTACTTTTTACTGTTTTGGCGGGCATGACGTCATTATGACGTCAGCAAATGTTCCGACTGGTTTATTTCACTTATCTGTTGGTCTATATAATGTTATGTGATTTCTTGAGCACAATGTCATTGCTGAGCCTGATGAAGGGGACCCTGCGCGGGCCCGAAAATCGCTAGTTCTGATGACATGGCGTTCTGAAATAAACACGCACTTTGGACTACAATACTTGTGGTGTGCTGGTGACATCCATCTACCTTCAGCCCTATACGTGGGCCTTAATCACAGCAATTAAAAACAAATCTCAAAACACAACAATCTTCGGTAACTCCAACAACCCACTCACAGGATGTGAAGTAAAAGCCAATATGACGACCCCTGCATCTCTAAACACATCACAACAGTATAAATAGATCGAAATTCTAAAATGGCAAGGGTGAATACATATTTAAGAAACACAAATCTATTAGGTCTCATTCACACAGCGTTAACTCAGGCCGTACACTTCCGTGCAGCGTGCACGACCGTATCGGGCCAATCCCGGGAGGAACAGGTGCTGTGTGTAGCAGTCTGTTCTTCCCTATGGAAGGACGCGGCCGTACGCTGTCATACGCACACCCAAACTGCACATCCGGGTGTCCATACTCGGACACAGTCAGGATGGATTGCCACCGATGTGCAGTTCGGGTGTGCGTATGACAACATACGGCTGCATCCTGTCCCTCCCATGAACGGCCCGATACGGGGTGCACGCCACACGGACGCAGGTCCCAGCCCCCACATACCAACAGAGAGGCAGCAACACTTAAAAAGGCATCACAGTCCCCAGCAATACCATTATGGCCAACACCAGGTAGACTGATGAAAGCAATAGACAAAGGCGCCCTTCTTTACCACAGCGGGTACTGTGACCTGGCAGCAGAGATCCCGATCCTATGTACTACATTTCAGGCCAAAGCCCGGACGCCGCAAGCCCGCATGGGACACTGTGACTGAGCAGCAGAGACCCCCAGTCATATGTACCACTACAGAGTACATGTGCACTCACGTGCACGATCATGGCAGTCATCCAGCTGGCAGTTGCTTATAGATCCGCTGAAAACAAAAAAAGAAAAAAGGAAACTACTAAAAAGGAATCAGAGCACCGAGTCCTAGGTCCTAACGCCAGAACGAGGCAAAAAAACTGAGGCTATGGTGGGCAGGTGGGGGTTGGCTACCAGCAGGGGCTGCCCCTTAGGCTGTTCTTTGCCTAGCGTCGTACTCTTGCAGGCAGTCGCTATGACTCAGTGGTTTCAGATCTATGATTTTCGTCCCCACTGTGTCCTTCAATGAACGAAAGAGCTATAATAATTCCAGCCAATTAGGAAAGGCGGATACAACAATCCCGGTAGACAACCAAAAAAAGACTACAGATCAGAGTTTTGTTTTATAGCAGCTAGCCCTAGGGATGGTCAGAGAGCTGTGACAGGAAAGAAGGAGCAAAAAGTGCTCTATTTACAGTGACTAGTAGATGGAATAGCAAGATCAATTATTCATTACATTGCAATGACAATAAATGATGAGCTGTGCCATGGGGGCTTTTGAAATAGGAAAATAGTATTATCTATGCCACCATTACCTTGTATGGAATTCAGCAACTAAAACAGGATACCAAAAAACAAAAAAGGTGGCCACAGATCTCTTTGCTGTATACAAATACTATTGTTGATCAAATGCACAGATAAACCTACAACATACGGTAAGTTAGATTATCACTGTGGACAGTTATGAACAAATACAAGGGTTAAGCCCGCTCCTTTCCCCAAATTTCCCTGCTAAAGATAAACTGGAGGCAAACTGCTAAATAAACAGATGAAAAAGATATAAGGGAGCGGTTGTACCTGCAAATGTAGGTTTATTTCTGTCCATCTAGTTCTGAGATTTATGCAGTGCTGCTAGACTGTATAGGCAAGGTGGATGCCTGCTGACTGGACAGTAAAAAATAGTAGCAGCAGACCAATGAGGTAATCTCTCTACTCAGCTTGTTTTTTGTCAGCACATTGTTGTGCAAGACACTGGTGTGCATGACATTGCAGGAGGCTGATGCCCAGTCAAATTCAGGTACTTATAATAGTTGGATTTAAAAAAATATATTTTTTATTTATTCATTAATATATAGCTTTGATAATTTGAGTCTTTTATATATACCTACAGTCCAGCTTTATGCATTTACAGTTCCTTTCAAAGTTGCCTGATCATTCTTGACTGTGCTGTTATGAACTATGAGGTTGACCACAGAGTGGTCAGGTAAGAAATAAAGAAAAATTATTAAAGAATTAATGTTAATACTAGAGATGCACCAAAATAGAATTTTTAGACCGAAACTGAAAATAAAAAATTTGTCAGGCTGAAACCAAAAATTAAGCTTTGTTTTCCCAACTTTTTTTAAAATTGTTTAAAAATGTTTTTTTTTTTACTTTACTGTTTGGGGAAATACCAGGGGTGTAAACTGACCCCTGATATATCCCTTTTAAAATAGAAAAAGAGATTGAGGACACAGAGTACTCAATCTCTTATTCTGCAGCCAATTTTACGAATGACCAGGAAGAATCTATACCGAGTGCTCCTGCCCATTCATCAACTGTGGATATAGTATAAGTTACTAAGTCCACAATCATGAATGATCAGGAAGTGCTGTAGTGTACTTCCTGTTCATTCATAACTGGGGACACAGTAGCATATTATGTCTACAGTTATTTACATTCAGCGATTAACTGATCGCTGAGTGTTTGTTCTCCACTCTCCATCCTCACTTACTGTCGCAGGAGGCAGAGGCGGGAGGTGCGGGCAGAGAGCTCAGCCTCTTGACAGCTGACTCCTCCCCCACACCGCATGGCAAGGCATCCTGAGCCGTCTCCTTCCCGTTCAGCCTCCCGAATCCTTCTCCTCCCTGCTGGACGCCGGTCTCTGTCCCCTTGGATCCTCGCTGCCTCTGCTGGCACAGGCAGGAAAGAGCAGCGGGGATCGGACGGGACACAGACGGGCGACCAGCGGGGAGGAGAGAATAACACAGAATTTTTGTCCACATTTTGTCCCAAGTACCATTTTCGGCCGACATTTTACGGCAGACAAAATTGGGGTGCATCCCTAGTTAATACAAGAAAACAAAAACTCTACCTGTAGAAAGAGAGTCACACCCATGGTCAAAAAGCTCTCCTAGCGGAGTACTGCTGTTAGTTCTCCTTGCTTGCTTCCCATCAATGGCATCCAAGGACTGGTAAATAAATAAGCCAACAGCACAAGATATGTATGTCCACGTTGGGGCCTGTAAAATAACATAAAAACAACACATTTACATTTGCTAAATTGTGTACAAAGCATATATTTTATACATCAGTTATCCACCCCCAGTTCTCTACAATTGTTTTAAATTTACCACTTATAAGGAATTTTCACTTTCATTTGAAGATTTGAAAGAACCAGAAGGTTGCAGAACAGTTGAAATCCAATATGTTTCATTTTCATAATAGTAGTCAATCACCCTTTTTAGATATGAGCAGTAGCCATACCAGTTATAAAAGCAGCACACCAGAGGAAAAGTAAGAAAAAATATAGCTGCAAGCAGCAATAAAGATGGCCAAGCATTAGAGTCTGGTTATAGTACAGGAAAAGATATTGTAGTTAGAGAGATAAAAAGCAAAGTTATTTATTCATAATAGACCTTTACAACCACATACGTTTTAATACGTTTTACGAACTGTAATATTTTTCAAAATTGTCCACTGACCTTTCACATCTATATTAAAATTTGCACGTATGTTGCCGAGTAATTATGTGTATCAAATTTTAAGATAGTTCAGTAGTGCTATAAATACAGGTGTGCAATTTGCTGCAACGTTAAATGTGATTGGCTTGCGTCAGCCATATTGATGTTGATATTCACTTTCGATGACCAACCTTTAGTAGGGGAAGTGGCCGTGGAGGTGTGTGCCAAATTTCGCATTGCCATGACATACGATGACGGCGCCCCCCCCCCTCAGTCCTGCGCCCGGGGCAAGTGCCCCCCCGGTTGTTACGCCACTGGAGTCAGTATTTCTCTATAGACCTCTACAAATGGACATGATATCATGAATTATACATTTTTCTTCAAATACAAAATGGCTGCCGACCTTGGTAACATTTTGAACCCATATTGTATTTGGCAGTGATGATTTTGAGTTACCATATGTTTAACTTACTTCCATAGTGATATAAATGCATGTTTATGCAATTTGCTGCAATGCTAAAAGTAATTAGCTTGTGTCGACCATATTGATTTTGGGAGTGGACCTGTTTTTACAACCATTGTAGAAGAGGTCGCCCTGGACATATGTGCCAAGTTTTGAATTATTCTGATAAAATGGTTTCAGAGATGAAGTTGCTTGCAAAATATTGCCCAATTCAATATGGCTTCCAAACCATGTGGTCAAATGGCTTGTAATGAACATCTATGACTGTAGAACACAGCATATACTCGCATAGCAATTTGTAGATCTGCAGCTTTAGTGCTTATGAAAAAAAAAAAAAAGAAGGTTTGCAAATTGTCCGAAATTAAGTAAATATGGATCTCTTGCCATGAGTTTTTTTTTTCTATTCCCCTAATGTTTGACAGACCAATATCACAGCCATAGCAGGTTGCAATTCAGGGCTTTTTTGCTTGCCAATAAGGGAATATCATCATAAAAATGTTATTAGCTTAACAATGTTCCACTGAAAAGAGCTTGTTTCACTTGCAGAGGGATGCTGTTAACGGATTAACAGGATATAGGTAAAGTCTACAAAACCACTCCGTACTACAGTAGTTTGTCTCAGTAGTGCTCAACACAGATAGGAACTACTGTCTAATCACATGGCTTGGTGGTTCATTTGAATTTGTTTATTGGTTAGGAAAGTTGTATAAGTTCTCCTTCTGGTCCTCCTCTGCTGATTGACATCAGGAAGTGGGTGTGTGCAATAGCCAGCCTGCTATTGGCTTCTGACATTTAAAATACCCAATAGCAGGCCGGCTATTGCTTCCAGCCACTGGATGCTAGCAACCATTATAGGGGGCATAGGCGATCGGCTATAGGCAGAACGGAGGGTGGAGATGGGAAGATGCCTCCATGCTTCCCCTGCTCTGAAGTCATCCTACCGTCTCCTAAAAGCATCGGGCTGTGTGGAATAGTAATGTCCAGTGAAGGAATCTTTCCTTTGAATTGATTATTTTCAGTGAACTGGATGAATTGATTCATCGGACTGAACTATAAGCTCTCACTGACAGGGCCCTCCTTACTATTTCGTCTTGAGTTGTATTGTAATGTCTTCCCTATATTGATTTGTGTTCTGCCACTTTAACCATTTTCAACCAACCAGAGAAATCATGTGGGCAGCGAGATCGCAGGATCAGATCTTATTCAATGAGACTACCATTATTCTGCTGCCTGACCTTTTCAGACATACATTCACTCTACGGAAAGCACTTAAACCACTCCTGGAAGGCCTGCGTTTCAAGGACATCACTTACTGTTGGGGATATCCGTTCCTGTTCATTGCCCGACATGAGGGCAATTCTGCCATTTTTCGTGAGCTTGGAGATCTCCCTAACTTCCTCATAAAGTTCAAGTTACCTCAGGTGTTGCTTCCTGACTGGCCACTATATCCACTAGTTCAGGGCTTCTCCACTGGCTATGCCTGGCAGTCAGCCCGGCACAAGAAGGAATCCAGTCATACTTTCCATTCTGAAGCTCCTGCTTGTTCTAACCCAATTTGTCGAAATTTCGTGCTAGCATGCCCTTGCCTCTGGATCTTGATGCCTTCCGAAACTTGTTTCTGAACGCCAGTTTATTGCTGTAGTTTGTTTTATTGACATTACTCCCTGTGTATGTTGTGATGGACCTAGGGCTGCAGAGATGTATTACCCCGGAGAACTTTGTTTGCTGCGTGTGTTTTTCTATTTAATATTCTATCTAGAGAGAGGGTTTTTCACTATTTGACTTGATTTGAATCATCCGGACTTCCATCTTGTTTGGATACCATCTCTGCTAAACATATTTTGTGAAGGCAGCAGGCTGTCTGGAGTGGCCATTGTTTGGGATGATCTGATCAAGGACATTCATTAGGGTCAAAGAGTGTCTGTGCTTAAGGAATTCCAATGCGGCACCCGGCTGTCTAGGGGAGGGGATTGGTCAATGTAACACACTGAACTCTTCTGAATCTGATTCTGTGAGGTATAAACTGTGTGCTTTCTTCAATAAACCAGTTCATGTTTCACCTCTAAAGTCAGTGTTGTCTGATTCTTGGGGTAAGCCCATACTATATTCCCTTGATTCTGGTTCCAGCACCCAGGGAACAGGCTTAAGAAGGAGATATCCAGTCGAGGTATAAATGGAGTCCATCACATATGTATATAGTGTTTTTTAAAATGGTTTTGCCATTGTTTCATTGCTATTATATGCTGTTACATTGGATCCACTGTAGCGGGATGTCTTCCCCCCCCCCCCCCCCCCAGGTATTGCAGTGCTGGGTTTTTTTTTTGTTTTTTTTTGGGGGGGGGGGGGTCATTTTTTTCTCTGCAATGTATTGTGTGATAGATGGTTTAGCTGTAGTACATATAACTTATCACAACGTTTTCTACCACTAGATGAGATTTGTTCTCTTTGTCTTGTCTTCTTGGATATTCCTCTTGTGTTATCTTTGTATTTTCTCCATTTGTCTTTTTGCTCTTCAACCTCTTCTTTTCTGGTCCCTGTCGGGGAGGCTATACTTGTTTGCCACTCTTCTCCGGATAACTTTCAATGGCTATTTTGCTGTGTCACTTTCCTCGCTAAAATGTAAAGGTTTTAAATGTCCCCCAAAAAAGGCATCAGATTCTATATAATTTTTACAAAGAAATTACATTCTTGGAGCGCATGCGCAAAGCCGCCGATGGAGGTAGCCTTCTAGGACTGCTCCGCGGCTCACCCAGGCATTTACCGGCATAGCACGGAGCATCCCGCTCCCCAATCTTCTCACTTACCCTACCGGACACCCTGCAGCAGGTAACGATGTCAGTCTCGGGCGCCCGCAACCCTCAGAAGGGTAAACAACAACCCATTGACGAGGCGATGGCCCGGGCCTCTGCTAAGATGGCAATAACATCCCCAGTCATTTTGGGTGCCTATACGTACACTAGCCACCAGGCGTAACGGCTCTGCCGCTATCCCCCCCTGGATTGAGCCTGGCCCGTTTGGGACAGTGCTGTTTATGATAGCTGAGCAATATACTGTCCCCTCGTCCCTTAGACCTCCTCAGTCCTCCCATCCAGACCATGTCCGCAAGAGTATTATTAGTTAAATGTTAATGTTGTTTGGTTACCAGATTAATATGCATAGTTTGAGGAGAATGTTATTTTTCTGAAATTTGCCTGGGTGAGCAAGTCACTGTGCTCCCCATCTCTTGGACCCCTTGGGGAGCAAGTCACTGTGCTCCCCATCTCTTGGACCCCTTGGGTAGTTTGTGCCAGTCGGACCCGACTGCCCAATGAGCCAGGATAGTAGTGGATATACTCCTCAGGTTCTAATATTCGTTTTCATGTTTCATGTCCTCTGTCCTCCCTACCCTTGTGTTTCCTCCCTTCCTCCCCTTTCTCTTTGCCCCGAGCTTCCTAGTTCGGACTGCACGTCGGTGTGGCAGAAGCTACTGATTCATCCAAGCAAGTTTGGGTTTGGTAAGTACCATTGGCACGTTTGTTGTGTGACACCCCATGCCTCTTAAATTATTGAGCCTGAATGTGCAGGGCCTGAATTCCCCCAATAAACGGACCAGAGCCTTCAGATTTTTTAGATCTATCCAGTGGTTGACTCCCTGCGCAATACCTACCCTTACACCTGGCACGATGCCCACCTTCCATACTTGGGTATTAAGCTGACAAATTCATATCACTCCTTATATACCTCTAACTACCCCGAGATGGTGGCTAAGTTGTCGCGCATGCTGAAAACATGGTCCAGTTATCAACTCTCCTGGCTAGGTAGGGTAGCCGCAGTCAAAATGACGCTGTTACCAAAGATTCTATACTTATTTAGAGTCCTGCCTGTCGCAATCCCCAGCCCTACTTTGAAGAAGCTACAATCGCAAATATTCCCCCTTATTTGGGGGATAAGAAACCTAGAGTTCCCAGACGCACGCTCTCCCAAAACTTCAGGGGGGGTTAGCAGTTCCACACTTACACAAGTATTACTTGGCAGCACAAATTGGACAGTTAGCAAAATATAATTCGGTCCTTGAGACCCCGGCCTGGGTGACTTTGGAGACAAGGCTGGTGAGTTC